AGTTTCTGCACACTACGTGGCTTGGCAGTGTGTACACCTCGGGAGTTACAGCGCAGAAAGCTGCTTTAATGTGCAGAAACTTGCCAGTGTAAACAGGGCTTAAGAGAAAAGAATTTCCCCCACCATGAAAGTCACCATAGTCTGAGAAAAAGAAAAACTGCAAACCCTTAAAAGGAGAAGGGGTTTTAAGTGAAGGACATCCAGAAACTGAGGACTAGCATCCAGGCACTGACAGCAGAGCACATGCTGGGAAACTGGTCAGAGGCAACAATATAAAAGTGCAAAGCCTGAAGTTGCATCTTTATGTTTATTTTCTGTGTAACTTGTGTTTGATTTTACTTACTACTTCATCTTTGATTATTCTATTAAATAATTTTATTTATCCTTACCCCAAGCAGGTCTCTGGTGCGCACACTGAATGGAGTGTGTATCCCAAAGCGTACTGATAACAGGGGCAGGTTTCACTCCTTCAGAGGTAACGAACCAGAGGGGAAAAGTTCAAGTTTCTGGTAGTTAAGATCTCAAGATAGAAAGATTTGGGAAGACTCGGAACCAGAAGCGCTCTTGTGGTCACCCTGCAAGGAGTAACTAGGCTGACAGAAGCCAGGGTGAGACCTTTATGCTCGTAGGCTGGCAACTGGTATCAGGGCTTTAAGCCATAGCAGCATAGCATTAAAGCACCCGAAGTTACAAGGCAGGAGGTAACAGAACCCTTTACTGGTCTGGTTGAGCCCCAAAACTTTACTGTTTAGAAGGTCCAAGAGTTAATAACCGAGACAAGGAACAGTGAGCTGGTCCTCCGGGGTGTCTAGAAGGGTTGAGACAACATCACAGGGACAGGGTACAGTACCTCCAGGGTGCCTAGAGGGCATTTGTCACTGGTGTATTATTCATATATGTGCCACACTGCCATGTCTTGCTGGTAATACAAAACAGATAGCTTCTTTTCTTTAAACTCCTCAAGTTTCTGGCTAATGGACAACAGTAAATCCTCCAATTTTTCCAAACAGAGAAGACCTCTCAACAGTCTGACTCAAGCAATGCACAAACTGGGGAACTGGATGAACACACACAGCAAGGTGAAGGTAATTTCAATAGAGAGACTGTGGAAACTGATGAATGAAAGGAGGCAGATGAATCATATGATTCCAGTTTAATGACTTTCAAGTAACACCACCAAGCTCAGAGGAAGATTTGCAAGTGCAGCACTAATCTCTCCTGCTTCTGTTTACTGATTCATGTTTTTTTTTACCTGATTCATGATTGTGGCCTAAACAACTTACAGATTCTGTTCATCCAAAAATTGTTCTATCTGGTGTATTGAATTTAAAAGAAATGCAGACACTGGTGAAGTCTGTGCCAAAAAGATGTTGATGGCCATAATTTTCCTGAATTTTTTCTCAAATGTAAGACTTCCAACAATAGAGAAAAGATTATAAGAGATTGGCTTTTTGAAGGGCTACCAACCAAGCACTGTACTGCTTCCCATGTTGGCTATTTTCGGAGGGGGAGGACAAACAAACAGTGCAGTACACTGGCAAAAAGTGAAGAGTATTTTCAAGCTATGAAAAAATGTCTCAACCTACATCAAAAACTTCCTGAACATGAAAAGAGCAGAGACCATAAAACCCACTACTGCCAGTGGAAGGAATCAGAGTAGGCGTTATGATGTGGATAGGAAACACATAGTGAGAAACAAAAACAAATATTAACAAAGCTGCAAGACGGACAGCAATACTGGAAAAAATGTTGGATGCTATCTTACATCTTGCTTGAAAAGGTATAGCATTTCAAGGAGATAATCTGATTGATGATCCATACAATGGTAACTTTCATGGAACTCCTGAGTTACTAGATCATCATGACAACATAACTCAGGGCCATTTGGCTAGAGTCAAACAGAAGCAGATAGAGGGTAGAACAAATCAAGGACAGGTACATTACCTCTCATGAGAGAGTCAGAATGAGTTTATTGAATTATGTGGTAAAAGTGGGCAAAAGGCCATTCTTGCAGCAAAAGAAAAAGCCATCTATTATCCTATCATATGTGATGCTACTCCTGATGCCTCTCACCATGAACAAAAATGTGTTAATATTCAGGTTTGTAGGTCAGGACCACAATAGTAGTGCATTTAACATTCAAGAAAAATTCTCCAGTTCATGAACTTTAATAAAAAAGGATATAGATGAAATGCTAATTGTCAGGTGAAACACCATCACATTCGACTTGATGACTGCCGAGGTCCAGGATAGGATTTGATTTGAAAATGTCAGGAAAATTAAAAGGGATAGGCCTGCATTATGTTCAAAAATAAACTTGCTGTGTCTTCTCCTTCCATTTCCAATTCACATAAGCTAGTAGATCCGGGGTGGCCAGACTGAGAAGGAGCCAGAATTTACCAATGTACCTTTCCAAAGAGCCACAGTAATACATCAGCAGTGCCCCCCTGCCATCAGTTCCCTCCCTGCAAGAGCCTCCCACCCACCAGCAGGCCCACCAGTCAGTGCCTCTCCCTCCCTCCCCACACCTCCCGATCACCTGTTTTGTGGTGTGCAGGAGGTTCTGAGGGGGAGGAGGGCATGGCAGGCTCAGGGGAGGGGGTAGGAAGGGGTGGAGTGGGGGCAGACTCTGTGGCAGAGCTAGGGGTTGAGCATTGAGCACCCTCTAGCAATTGGAAAGTTGGAGACTGTAGCTCCAGCCCCGGAGTTGGTGCCTATACAAGGAGCCACATGTTAACTTCTGAAGAGCCACATGTGGCTCCGGAGCCACAGGTTGGCCACCCCAGATGTTTCTGCTACTGCTGCAGCATGTTCTGAAACAGTAACATATTTTAATTGTGTGCAGCAATTTGTGTTTTTCAGTGCCTCAATGCTTGTGAGGTGGAAGACTATAACAAATAAGACGCACTGTTCACTCCATTCTCAGTTAGACACATTCTGGATTGCACGTGCTGATGCTGTCTGTCCACGCTCTCTGCACACAAGTTCAACAGGACTTTATTGCATTTGGAAACACAATAGTGTTCTTTGCTTGTAGAAGGGAAAATAGCCAACAGGATTTCAACACGTTTTAATTATAGAAATATTAATATTATTATACCAACAATGAAACAATAGTCTAGAGCAGGGGTTCTCAAACTGGGGGGGTCAGGATCCCTCAAGGGGTCATAAGGTTATTACATGAGGGGTCACCTCCATCCCAAAACCCGCTTTGCAGCCAACATTTATAATGGTGTTGAATATATAAAAAGTTTTTAATTTATAAGGGGGGGTCGCACTCAGAGGCTTGGTATGTGAAAGAGGTCACCAGTACAAAGGTTTGAGAACCACAGGTCTAGAGAAACTATTTATAATTTAAGACTGTAAATTGTTTGGGAGAGGGACTATGGCAATATAGGACTAATTGCTACTAAAATAGTTTTTTCTCCGCCAAATACATCTCCAGATCTAATGAAAACAATTACAGTGCTTTACAATGTGTACATATTTTCAAATTACTTTGTTATTGTTTTCCCTTTCCTCCAGATAAGCAAGCAGTTAATCCTGAGAATAAATACATGAAATAAATTGAGACAAAAGCCCCAATCCAGCAAACATACATCGGCTCAACTTTATCCATGACAGGTTTCAGAGTAACAGCCATGTTAGTCTGTATTCGCAAAAAGAAAAGGAGTACTTGTGGCACCTTAGAGACTAACCAATTTATTTGAGCATGAGCTTTCGTGAGCATCCGATGAAGTGAGCTGTAGCTCACGAAAGCTCATGCTCAAATAAATTGGTTAGTCTCTAAGGTGCCACAAGTACTCCTTTTCTTTATCCATGAGTAACCTCAATTCACTTCAGTGGAAGTGCTCATGCTCCTAACAGGCCTTGCACAAACTGTCTGTAGATATTAGACTTTTTGCACACTAAGTGTACTACTATAAATACAGGTAAGAAAATAATCCTCAAAAAGGTTATAATCTAAATTCACAACTTCAGGAATTATCTTAAATTTCCTCAAAGGTTGGTTAAAAAGATACCACAAAATTGACAGCTAGTCCATTTTAAAAAATGAATTTAAAGTTTTTCAAGGCACTGCGCCTGCCCCAAATTCTCCAATTTGTAATAACATTTTCCTATTTAATTCCTAACATCCAACAAGAACTTTTATTATGCAAGCCTCACACTGATACTAGAACAGTCTCAAAGACTAACCCAATACTTCAATTGGACACGTTAGAAAAACTAAACCTTCTCTACATCGTTACCTACAGGTCTTGAGATTTGGGGTGGGAAATTCCCTAAATCCCCTTATTTTTAAAGGCATTGTTGAGACCGTTTTTAAACATCCTTTGTAGTGAATGACTTCTGCTGTGCATTTGCTTCAATTATATATTTAAAATACCATTCATTTCATTTTTAAGGTATTTCCTCATTCAAGCAATCTTGACAGACAACTCTGAGCACAAATGGAAATGGGTAAGTTATAATGAGATCTAAGAATGAAAAGCACTAAATAATAGGTAGGTAGCAGTAGTATTATATATTTATGTGAACAAAGAAATCTTAATATATGGTTTAGCTCCAAACCACAGCCATCCAAAAATGAAACCCAACCAAAGGAAAAACAACAAACACACAAAGGTACGTCAGAGTCCTCATATGACCCCTAGAGAGAAAAGGGAATGGCGAGGGGGAGAAAGAAGAGCTGGGAAGAGGTGCTGATGGGGATAGGGCTGAGCAGGGAACCTGACAAAGATGAATGGGGAGAGTGGGATAAGGAGAACAGAGATTTTATGAAAACTCCTTGTAGTCCCAGCCCTCTAAGGCCCCACTGCCTTTCCAGTGTGCGCCCCACATGACACCAGGGGAGTCCCAGGATTCAATGGCAGCCCTGTGCCTGACAGAAAGTCTTTCCTAGGGCCACTCATTTACCATGGGAACCCCTTGCCACCCACCCCACGACAGCTCCAGCCCCTCTGCAGAATGCCCAGAGCCCCGGACCCCCCCAATCTTACCCCTCTTATCCATGAGCCACATGAAGGCGAAACAGGGCAGGAAGCCGATTGGGCCCCACAAGACGAGCAAGGCGATGTCCCAGCTGGAGAAGCCGAAGGCCAGGCGGGCCGAGTTCTGGATGGGGCCCCAGCTGTTCCACACCAGGCCCTGCGCGAAGCCCAGCAGCGAGAAGACCAGCAGCACGAGCCAGCGCCGCCCGTAAACCCGGCCCGGTACCGGCGCCAGCCGGGGCGCCGCCGCCGCAGGGATAAGGCCCCGCCAAAGCTGGGGCACAAGGGGACCCCCCGCCGCCCCCCGGGGCTGCGGCGGTAGCAGGGACTCCCGCTCCTCCGCGCTGCTCCAGCCTAGACCCATCTGCGGAGGTCGAAGGGGGGGCTGCCTCCGGGCGGCCAGGACGGGCTCGGGGACAGCAGCTCTCAGGGCGGTTGAGGGGCCCGTGTCCTGTCAGGGCATCGGGGAGGGGTCTGGGGAAACGACGCCAAACTCACAATCACAGGGGCTCTGCCGGGCCCTGCCCAGCCGCATGCGCGAGCCGGGCGGCCCTGCCCACCAGCCACCGCCTTCCCTCACTCCCACCCATCCTCCTTCCAGTCCGAGCCGCCACACAACGGTCACTTCCTGGGGCAAGGAGGTCTCCCTCAGTCAGACCCCCCCACAACGGTCACTCCCTGGGGTGGGGGACTACCTCAGTCAGAACCTCCCCAACGGTCACTCCCTGGGGTGGGGGTCCCCTCAGTCAGAACCGCCCCCTCCAACGGTCACTCCCTGGGGGTGGGGGACTACCTCAGTCAGAACCGCCCTCCCCAACGGTCACTCCCTGGGGTGGGGGACTACCTCAGTCAGAACCGCCCTCCCCAACGGTCACTCCCTGGGGTGGGGGTCCCCTCAGTCAGAACCGCCCTCCCCAACGGTCACTCCCTGGGGTGGGGGTCCCCTCAGTCAGAACCGCCCTCCCCAACGGTCACTCCCTGGGGTGGGGGTCCCCCTCAGTCAGAACCGCCCTCCCCAACGGTCACTCCCTGGGGTGGGGGTCCCCCTCAGTCAGAACAGCCCCCCCCAACGGTCACTCCCTGGGGTGGGGGTCCCCCTCAGTCAGAACAGCCCCCTCCAACGGTCACTCCCTGGGGGTGGGGGTCCCCCTCAGTCAGAACCGCCCTCCCCAACGGTCACTCCCTGGGGGTGGGGGTCCCCTCAGTCAGAACCGCCCTCCCCAACGGTCACTCCCTGGGGTGGGGGTCCCCCTCAGTCAGAACAGCCCCCTCCAACGGTCACTCCCTGGGGGTGGGGGTCCCCCTCAGTCAGAACCGCCCTCCCCAACGGTCACTCCCTGGGGGTGGGGGTCCCCTCAGTCAGAACCGCCCCCTCCAACGGTCACTCCCTGGGGGTGGGGGTCCCCCTCAGTCAGAACCGCCCTCCCCAACGGTCACTCCCTGGGGGTGGGGGTCCCCTCAGTCAGAACCGCCCCCTCCAACGGTCACTCCCTGGGGGTGGGGGTCCCCCTCAGTCAGAACCGCCCTCCCCCACGGTCACTCCCTGGGGGTGGGGGACTACCTCAGTCAGAACCCCCCCCCAACGGTCACTCCCTGGGGGTGGGGGACTACCTCAGTCAGAACCCCCCCCCAACGGTCACTCCCTGGGGGTGGGGGACTACCTCAGTCAGAACAGCCCCCCCCGCCCCCTCCCTGAAGTTCTCCCTCAGTCAGAGCCCCTTCTCCCCAACGGTCACGTCCTGAGGTTAGGGGTTCCCTCAGTCAGAGCCCCTTCTCCCCAACGGTCACTCCCTGGGCTCCAAGGCCCTTGGCCTAGAGAGCCCCGAAAGGCCCTTGGCCGGGGCTTTCCACTGTGTACTGAGCTGCCCCATCCCGACCAACAGCCGGCGTCAGCCCCCAGGATGGGTCAGCGCGTGACCCCAGCGCCCGCCTTCTCCGCCCACAGCAAACCCACGTGAGGCGTCCGCTACGCTCACGTGATGGGAGGGGGCGGGGCTGCCGGTGACGGACAAAGGCTGAGCTTTGCCCCCTGGGGCGGCTTTGAGGCGGCTGCTCTGCCCGGTCACCCGGCGGGAGCATGGCAGAGGCCGCAACCCTGGATCCGCCGCTGCCCGGTAGGTGGCCCCGGCTGGTGACGTGTGTGCTGCGGTGGGTGTAGAGCCGGGCAAGGGGGCGGCTTTCTCGCTGGCTGCCTTGGTCTGTCGTGGCCTTAGATCGCAGCCCGCTGTCCGGGCTCTGACCTGGCCCCCGGGGCACGGGCCAGCGTGCAGTGCCTGGCTGGGTCTTCAGCATCCTCTTTGCAGACCGGGCGCTGGCGCCTTAGTTGCTCCCTCCCCGGCTGCCTGAACACGTGTCCACACACATGCACGGTTTGCTCCCAGCACCTCTCACCGTGTCCTCCCTTCACCTCCAGGCATGAGTTCAGTTCCGGTAAGTATCTCCGTGCTTGCTGGTCTCCGAGATGTGCATTCCTCTGCACTTGCAAACTCAGCCCCGCTTCAGCTCCACGGGGGGGTAGCCAACAGTGGAAGCTGATGTGTAGACAGGTTTTACCACCTGCATCCACCGTTCCTCACGCTGCTGGAGCTGCACCTCTGAGGAATTACATCTACAAAGGTTTCGGAGTAGCAGCCCTGTTAGTCTGTGTTCGCAAAAAGAAAAGGAGTACTTGTGGCACCTTATCATTGGAAATCAGCTGTAGCTCACGCTCAGATAAATTGGTTAGTCTCTAAGGTGCCACAAGTACTCCTTTTATTTTTACAGCTACAAAGGTTACTGGTGCAGACAAGGCTGTTAATATGTCACGTGCAAGGTCTTTTACACCTGAGCGTCCGGCGAGTCATTGCTACTTATTTTTTGTTCCCCTTTCTAAAATCAAACAACAGAAGTAGGAAATTAACAGCCCAATGACATTAAATGCGTTAAGGCTGTAAAATGTCAGGAAACAGAAGTTAAAGTGATCATAGTAACATTAATTTGCCCACATAAGTATCCACTTCATATTTCCAAGTTAAGATTTAAATTCATTGTAAATTTTTAAAATAAATTCTGTTTTTCTATTTGCTGTTTTCCAGCAGTACAAATTATAGATTCACTCTTATTCTCTCTCTCCACTCACCCCTTGTATCCTTCTGTAAATTCCTCTGACTAATCTTATGCTGGCCCTTGGGATGTTGTGCATCATGTATCTTCCTTTTGCTCCTTTAGATCCCCACTCAAAGTCCACATTTCCACCAACAATGACCCACACTCCCATGCCTAAAATACATTTAATCTTTAAAGGAACCTCCTCAGTGTGTATGGGCATTTTACTAGTACAAGCAACCTCATTATATGTACTTTGCATAAATCTTCCTGATCTGATATCACCTCTCCCTGACTTAAATGAGACTCCTTGTGATCCACCTATACAGATCCAATTGCAGGATCCAGGATTAAATTTGCTTTTGAGGTGCTATAAAAGATGTTGAGGTATTGTGACAGGTCATCTACTTGTTACTTTTTTTCTTTAAGGCAAAAGTAAACACAGAGGTGGGAAAAAGATCTGGTTTCTGCTGGTGACTGCTTGATATGACTTGGATGGGCACAGTTCCACCAAATGTAGACTCCTCTTACAGGCTGCTAGTATTGTTTTATAATAAGGTGGATAAAAATCAATGGTGGTCTAAATAAAAAAAAAATACCCATTGAATGTGATTATTTGGATTTACTATTTTTTAAAAACTGCAGATGAATTTAGAGTCATCTGTCACATGAGCTAAGGGCATTATAAACTATTATCATTTGAATAAATTGAAGAATATATTCAGTTCATTATGCCATAGATATCAATAGGTAATAGACTGTTTACCACATGCAATTGTCATCATAAAATTAATGGTTTATGCTGCACAATATTTCAGTTTCTCTAAAAAATTATTTATTTCAGATTGGCTTCAGTTCTGTCACAATGATTGGAAATTTAATTGATAAATGGCAGTATGTTGAACTGGGGTAGTAGGGTGCACCAGAATGACTCACTAATACATCCAAGCAGCACATCAATGAAATTCAAATGATACTTAACCCCTGATTCTGCAATAGGATTTGTGCAGGTGGATCCTTACGGAGTTCCATGAAAGACAATGGGCACTGGCATAATGGTATGCCCATGCAGATCTGATTTCAGGATTGGGGCCTAAACTAGGAATTGCAAGCACCAGGGTGGATTGAAGAAATTTATACCAACCTAAATAATTAGAAATATAGGCAAAAAATAAGAAAATGAGATTCTGTCTAGACAAATTCAGCCTAACTCAGCTGGGAAAATATAATTCACACACCATTATTTAAAAGGAGACATATGGATAATAGCAGAGAGTAAATAGTTATGAACCTTAATGTGAAATGGCAGCAAAACTAGATCATAGTCCAAATTCAGGCTTGGCTCAATTAAGTAGTGCCCAGAGGTATCAACCAAGATCAGTGCCTTATAGTGCGAGGTGCTTTACAAATGCTAACCCCTGACTATATTACAGCCCTGTCCCAGTGATCTTGCAATCTAGTATAACTACATTGCTACTGACAGGTTTCAGAGTAACAGCCGTGTTAGTCTGTATTCGCAAAAAGAAAAGGAGTACTTGTGGCACCTTAGAGACTAACCAATTTATTTGAGCATGAGCTTTCGTGAGCTACAGCTCACTTCATCGGATGCATCCGATGAAGTGAGCTGCAGCTCACGAAAGCTCATGCTCAAATAAATTGGTTAGTCTCTAAGGTGCCACAAGTACTCCTTTTCTTTTTACATTGCTACTGTAATTTCACTGACTCATTGAAGTGGTGCCAATGATAATGTGCTGTCAAATGCAAAAGGTAAACAAAGTGGGGGGGAAATCTTTGGTTTTCCTCTCTAACCTTTTTCAGTGATAGTAATCCTAGGTGTTCCTTGTTATACTGATGAGTAGAAAATATAATTCATTCAGAAGTGTGAATTTTCAGTGCTCTTTAATGTTTAGCAAAGTGATACTCAGACCTCAGTCATTCAGGAGCCAAATTAGCAATCAGCATTACCCAAAAGAGCCACAGTATTGTGAATTCATTGTTTCATTTAATATTTTTATATTTATAATATTCTCACAGCAGAATGACTGGCCAATTATTCTACAACTGGTTAATAACCTAGTAAAAGCATCCTGATTGGTAAATAATTAAAACACTGTGTTTTAATATCATGTGCTGCACAGAGTTACGGGAGACATATTAAAGAGCCACTTGCAGCTCCCAAGCCTCAGTCTGAGTATCACTGGCTTAATAAGTAAATACAGTACTCCTCTGCTTTTACCGTAGTGTAAAAATGAAGACTCTGAATATATGTGGAATAATTAATACAAAAAATGTTCAGTAATTAATTCAGGCCTTATCATCTGACTGTTTGGGAATATATTTTGACTCTCATACTGACCACTAAGAACTGATATATTAAGCAAGAAACAGCAACCATAACAAAAAATGAGCAGCAGATATTAAAATAGATAATGTAAAGCTGTCTTTCTTTACTATTGATTTCATATGATTAAAATAATTTAATTTAATTCTTATTTTAAATCATTGCACCATATTTCATAGCACTATAACCAATATGCAGATATTCCAGTGGTGGCATGACCTTTTCTAGCTATTTAATTAACACAAAAAGAAAAGGAGTACTTGTGGCACAGTCTAACATTCCACATGAATTATTCTTGTTTGCAGGATTTCATACCATTTAAATTTGTTAATGTGAAGGAGCATTGCATTGTTGATAAACTGTTAGAAATCAAATTATCTGGCAGCTAACTGATTGCATTATTTTATTCATGGATATAATACTTCTCTAAATATGCTAATGTCACTCTTTCCTCCATATGATAGCATTTTTCCCATTCTCATAACTGACACTTGTATATTTGGGTGTGGAAATCTCTGCATGCTTTAACCTCATTATAATGTAACCTAGAGACTTGAATATCATCAGATCAGCTAAATGTGTATTCAGACAAATATGAAGATTTTTTGACTCCTAAGACTTACACAAATAGAGTTTTATGGGGGGAGGGGTGTTAGGTTTTGGGCTTTTTTTAACGTAGTAGCAAAGAATTTGGTCATGAAGGGTTAGACTTTTGTTATGAAGGGTTAGACTTCTCTTAAGAGAGACAAGGTAGGTGAGGTAATATCTTTTATTGGACCAACTTCTCTTAGTGAAAGAGACAAGCTTTTGAGCTATACAGAGCTCTTCTTCAGGTATAGGAAAGTTACTCAAGCCAGGTCTACACTACCACTTACTTCAGTATAACTTATATCGCTCAGGGGTGTGAATAAGACATCCCCAAGTGACGAAGGTACTCGGACCTAAGTGGAGTGGACAGCGCTATGTCAGTGGGAGTGTCTCTCTTGGGAGTGGATTTATTATGCCAGTGGGAGAGCTCTCTCTCATCAGCATAGAATGTCTTCACCAGACATGTTACAGCTGCGCGGATATAGCGCTTCTAGTGTAGACTAGCCCCAAGTGTCACAGCTAAATACAAAGTGGAACAGATTGTTTAGTGTAAGTAGTTACGCACATTTTAAGGGACCATTCAAGATGAAGTGGCCTGTTAACACCCCTGAAGTCATAGGACAAAAAGGGGAGTTGATGGCTTACGGATTGTTCTAATAGCCATAAATCCAGTGTCTTTATTAAGACCATGATTTTTCGTGTCTAGCAAAATTATGAATTTGAGCTCTCAGGCTTGTCTTTTGAAGGTGTAAAAGACTATGCTACAGTATACTAAACAATCTGTTCCACGTAGTAGTTAGCTGTGACACTCTGAGTACCTTTTCCAGACCTGCAGAAGAGCTCTGTGTAGCTTGAAAGCTTGTCTCTTTCGTCAACAGAAGTTGGTCCAATAAAATATATTACCTCATCCACCTTGTCTCTCTATTATCCTGGGAACGATGCAGCTACAACACTGCAAACAGGAAGTAGGGAGATCAGACATGCTCTGTTGAAACTGTTCCAGTCTTTCATGTAAAGGCAATTCATAATGCCTCCTACGATATGTCTTAAAATTCACTGTACAAAAATTTGAAAACGTGCATTGCTGTGCATATAATCCTG